GGATTTTAAACAGAAAACTTGTCATTTTGTAAGCTACAAATCTCTGGGTTTGCAAAATTGACTGTTAAGACAAGTTTTAAAAATTTGGCTATTCTTTCAGTTCGACTGGCATCAAAATAATTCAGTTGGCTTTTTTTACACATTAAGTTCATTCATATGAAAATCATATGCAGTCTTCTCACAGCCTTTCTACAAAAATTAATATGTGTATATTATTTATTTTCCCAAATGAATCACTTGCAAATTTGTAAATTTAGAAACTCCAAAATTTTGTGGTCTTTGTAGCAAGAATGCTAAAAAAAATTCAAAAATCCTTTTGTCTCTTATGTCCAAAATTTCTGGATGTGATACATAATCATACAACTAAATCATCGAATATACTTTCAAACACCTTTCATTACATTAATGACAAACATTAATGACATAAATAACATTAATGACAAATTCTTAGAAGAGAAAATAGGGTACTTTTCCGTTTTGCCGGCGCAAACGATAAAGTCGCCAATAATGGTACAACTGATGTCAAACGGAATATCTTCGCTGGTAACCTTTTACGCCTCCTTTTTAAAACACAAATACCCATTTCGTACCAGATTGATTGCTCTTTTCAAAACTGGCATACAATTACAGAGAATATTTACAAAGATAATTAAATTTTATGCCCTAAGACAATTCGCGGTAAATTAAGTCAATTGGATGCAATCACATCGCTCAACCGAAGGCGAAAATATAGAAAAAACAAAATCAAGAGTTAAATTCATTCATTCTAATGAGAATGCAATAGCGAAGTAAAGCACTACGGTTTTACATAATTTCTGAGTAAGCTATTAGTACGAATTGAAATAATTCTTGCATTTAAACTTTTATTCCAAATTAAGATTTAACTTGAAATTAATGTAAATAATTACTGAGAGAATTAGATTTTTGTAGCGTAGTTTACGCGAGATGAAATCAATTTAAATGATGAAACCATATTAAAATTTTTATGCCTTCAAAATAAAAAATTATTAGAACTAACATTTGTTAACATTTTTTCTGTTTATACTGTATGTTGTCGCCAACAAAGTCTGCTTGGCGAGATTTGCGCCGGCGAAACGGAAAAGTACCGAAAATAGTCTTAATGACAAATTCTGGGTAAAAGTATAGTTTAGGGTACCCTTGGCGAAACTTGGCGATTTTGGGCGTACATGGATACCGATTTTGTGCAATTCTTTGGCTTGTTATTTTGGCTTGCGAAGCGGTGATTTTTGTGCCAAAATTTGCATACACATCGACTTATTTTCACTTTAAAAAAAATCCCCGGGTAAAAGTATAGTTTAGGGTAGCCTTTGGCGATTTTTGGCGGCACATGGATACTGATTTTATGCAATTCTTTGACTCGTTACTTCGGCTACACAAAGCCAAAATAATAAGACTAACATTTGCACAAACTCGGTATCCATGTACACATAAACCTATTTTCACTTAAAAAAAAAAAAATCTCCAAATAGCACAAAAATGGCATTGCGTACTCTTTTGAGTTTATCCATGTACACGTCAACCTATTTTCACTTTAAAAAAAAATTCCAGAATTGCACAAACTTCCATTGCACACTTTCACTTAAACAGTCAAAGAAGCACCAAATTCTACAATATAGACAAACAAAAAATACATAATCTCAATAAAATACATTTTAAACAAACAATAAAATAACATAAAAAAGGAAAAACATGTTATATACATTTAAGCACTATCCAAAAGCAAATATTCACTTACCATGATTTTCGAAGTTCGCTTCGTACACCCAGAGCCACGTAAAAATCAAAATAGCAATCATACTCAAATGACCTTTTTTCAAACCAGGTACTCTTTCTGATCGAAGGCTTCACATAGTGACCATCTGAACCTTTCTTCCTACAAACCCATTCAAATCCATCTAAACGGTTTTTACGTTCGACTAGACGCATATCCTTCCTACATACAGGACACTTATAATGGCTACTAAGTAAATCTTCATTTACACACCAGTCAATTAAAGCTCTTTTCCCCTTTCACTCCAAATCATACAGAAGCTTCTAATTACAAATTAATCTTACTACATTCGGCCATTCTACTGTCTAAAGAATCAAACCAATACACACCACAAAAATGGGTTGATCTTTACATTATGGTAACTTGGCGGTTTTTTGGCGAAAATTTGGCGACCAACTCTTCTACAGCAACCCTCTATTTTTTTTTTCCCGCCGCCATTTTGTCTTCACGAAGTAAAGACATGTTTCTTTTCTTTTTATCTACTGAACACTTCTTCCAACAATCTACTAGCCGAATTACACTTATGCTAGAAATTTTATCTAACAAAACTGCTTAATCATGACAAATATTCACTGCAAAATTGGGAAAAAGTGCACAATACCATACTCCTTACGCGTTTTTTCAAAATAACACATACACATAACCATGTACACGCCGACTTATTTTTACTTAAAAAAAACATCCCAGAATTGCACAAAAATGGCATTGTGCACACTCTTCACTATATCCATGTACACTGCTTTTTTCTCATAAATTAGAAAAATTTCACGAAAATACATGACAACTTTCTCAATCTTTAAACCCGGTAAAAAGAATATATATGAAATTACCTGATCGCGAAAAAGTATTTACCCTTTCCAAATATGAACATTTCCACATATAAAATAAATAAAATATCCAAAAACTTTTACCTCTAAATCATCTATTATATTATAAACATCACCAACGAATTCATACCGCAACCATTACAAATACTTAGTTTCAGATATTTAAATTATTTCCATGCACGTTTACTTCAGCTGAAACGTATACCAAATTCCTACAAACATAAAATTCTCAAAATAACTATCATTTAATTAAAATATAATTAAATTCAAAAACACTACTTAAAATATAAATGAGCACATACATTAAATTAATAAAAATTACCTTACAATCCTAATTACTTTAAACTAAATCATGCTAATAACAATTTTCCCAATAATACCAAATTCCTTTACTTCCACCTTACATTTAGAACAATGCATAAAAATAATATCCTCAAATAATTAAAATACTAACTTACCTAATCTTCTTCAGAATCTTGATTACGTGTCCGATAACTTTTCTTTAGTTACGGCCATGGGATCCAAAAAATTCACGAACACTGTTTCACACAACACAGAATAAACCAAATACAAAATTTCCAGATTTTTTCCCGATTTCCCCCTTTTCCGATTAAAGAACCGTTTTAATTCGTCCATTAATATCACATGACATATCCCATGATCTCTCATTTCCGTCACACAAAATAATGCGTAATCGGAACTGAGTACTGCTCACATTATTACCAAAGTCCCAGGTAGTAACCTTTATCGCCTCCAAAATGTCGCCAAACTACCAGTTACCATATTGTAAAGATCAACCCAAAAATGCTTACAAAACATCCCATGATTCAAAATTTCTCAGAATCATGCACCCGATTACTTCACAATAGGGTTTCCATAACATTCAACTACTCAGGCTACCATAAATAAAACAACTTGGCGATAAATGAAACAACAGCTTCACCATAATACAAGAGGTACCTTTAAGTCTATTATACCCAATCCCCGAATTGCACAAAAATGGCATTGCGCACTCCTTTGACTCGCACTCCTTTTCCTATCCATGTACACGTCGACCTATTCTTACTTTAAAAAAAAAAAAATCCCAGAATTGCACAAACTTGCATTGCGCACTCCCTTTACTTTGTCCATGTACACATCGATATATTTTCACTTAAAATGTCAAAGGAGCACCAAATTCTACAATATAGGCAAACAAAAAATACATAATCTCAATAAAATACATTTCAAACCAAACAATAAAATAACATAAAAAACGAAAAGCATGTTATACATTTAAGCACTACCAAAAGCAAATATTCACTTAACATGATTTTCGAGTTCGCTTCGTACACCCAAAGCCACGTAAAAATCAAAATATCAATCATACTCAAATGACCTTTTTTCAAACCAGATACTCTTTCTGATCGAAGGCTTCACATAGTGACCATCTGAACCTTTCTTCCTACAAACCCATTCAAATCCATCTAAACGGTTTTTACATTTGACTAGACGCATATCCTTCCTACATACAGGACACTTATAATGCCTACTAAGTAAACCTTCATTTACACACCAGTCAATTAAAGCTCTTTTCTCCTTTCGCTCTAAATCGTACAGAAACTTCAAATTAACCTTAGTACATTCAGCCATTCTACCGTCTAAAGAATCAAACCAACACACACCACAAAAACGCTTACAAAATTCAAAATTTCCCAGAATCATGCACCCGATTACGTCACAATAGGGTTTCCATAACATTCAACTACTCAGGCTACCATAAATGAAACAATAACTTGGTGATAAACAACAACTTTGCCATAATACAAGGGGTACCTTAAAGTCTACTCTACCCAAATTCTGTAATCAAGAGAAAATAGTATATCATCTGTGCATATACAATTAAAAATAAAATAAAAAAGGATTTTATATGAAATTTCTTCATGCTGTTGAGGACTTGAACTGAACTACTGTTCTAAAAAGATGCTGGGAAGATGAAAACCCAGATACTGTAAGTATTTCACACAGTCTTCAGACATGAAGGGGAAAAAAAAAAAAAAAAAAAAAAAAAAAAACTTACACTTCAAATTCAATTTGTTTGGGTTATTAATTACGTAAATCTGGAAAATTTTAATGATTATAAAGTAAAGAATGTATTTAAAAAATTTTGAATTTGGTATCTAGCTTTAAATCTGAATTTTAGTCCAAAAACACCCCGCAACAGCCCTTTTAACATATGGGGATCAAACTCATGAAAAATCACTAGATCTTATCTACTCAATCGAGGGCCAATTTGCAATATCATCTCAAAAAGTAATGAGAGGGATGCAATTAAAAGTATCGGCATAATTTAAACTATTTATATTTAGATCTGATTATCTGAAAAATTCGAAACTACGTACCATTTGAAATGTATAAGCATGATCGCCTGCTCGAGGATAAATAGTAGCAGGGCCAAGAATATTCTCTGCTGTATACGATAAAGAATTTTCACAACCATACTGAGAACTAAAAGCAACTACTTCAAAAGCTCGAAGTGAAAGAGCATTGCTCCCTCTTTTAGAAGCTTCACTATGCAATTTAAATAATAATTCATCTTCTTCATTTTCAACTGAATTCATAGTTTATTCATTAATAAACTATTAATATTTACAATTTAAGATTGTAAATGGAAGCTACATAATGCTTTTAATGAATTAAGAATAAGACCAATAATCCGTTTTCCCTTTTTTTACAACAGAAAAAAATATCACTTAATTTTCTCCGGTTTGTTTACAAATACATCATTCAACGCCTGTTGCTACTGGGACACAGATAATACAGTAATAACTGGACAGCCGGAATGGATATGCTAGCATAGCAAAGAGTGCTTTAAGTTCAAAATTGGTTCATAGAGTCTCATTGAACTTAAAAAAATGTTCTTGATGGATTCCTTGCACAAGACTATTTTGTGAATAAAATACATTGATAGAAAACAATAAAATGCTAAAAGTATTCAAGGGATATACAGAAGACGAAATTTAAATAAAAGTGTTACTGAATTCTTACACTATTTTTTTTGTGAATATCATAAATATATTGATATCTTACAACGGTTTAAAATTTTTATTTTATCGGAAATAAAATGGTTTAATAATGATTTTTGATATGATATATATTTAACTGTATCCATTCAAATTGTATATCCGTTTCACACCCTGCCACTTCCGGTTGTGGGTCTGGTGATACAGATCCGAAATATTTTAAGTGGATTTTTTGGACTGAATGTGGTAATCTGAGTATATGAAATATGATATTGTTGGAGATAAACAATCGAATTATTGAAGATACTCTTCGACTAAAATTCAAAAATGCTCTTGCAGGGTAAGCAAGAAAGACTTTATAACTTAGAGAGTAAACATTGTAAAATGCGATATTGTTGCAAAAGATATTAATGTGTAAAATATAATATTTAGCTTTATCATTCAAAATTCATAGTGATATCGAAAAGTTTATTTTCCTTGGTTTAACTAAAATTTATAAGAAAACCATTCTTTTAATGGATTTTTTAAATTAAAAGCAGGGGCATTTAAACGTGTACAATTCTTAGTACAGCTCTTGTCAAATTACGTGATACTATTTAACCAAATGCTATTTATTTACTTTCATACTTTTAAATTCAGGAATAAGCCAGAGTCAGTAGAAGTCACCATAGCCGATTTCGATGGAGTCTTATTTCACATTTCTAATTTGAATGGCGATAAGACGAAAGTCCGTGTAAGTTATATGCTGTGTTAGTCAGTTTTTGAAATGATGTTTATCCATGTCATATTTTCTTATTATGTCTTATTTTTTAATCTAGGTCAGCATATCTCTTAAATTTTACCGGGAGTTGCAAGAACATGGAGCAGACGAAGTATGTTAACTAACTTATCTTTTTAAAGCTTTATTCTCATTTTAGTGTACAATATAGATTCGTTAAAATGTTATTATTAAACATCAGTTGAGCTCTTTAACGAATTTTTTGATACAGTGAGCGTGTGTGATAATGAAATATTCATAACACATTTAAATTATAACATTGGATTTAATTTTATGAAAAAGTAAGGTAAAAATACATTTACAAGTGCCCTTTGGCGGTACGTGAACACCGAGTTTGTGCAATTTTTTGTCTTGTTATTTTGGGAAAAATCGCCACTACACAAAACCAAAATAACAAGTCAAAGAGTTGCACAACTCTGTACCCATGTACACGTCGACCTACTTTCACTCCAAAAAAACATTAGAGAATTGTACCAACTCGGCATTGTGCACTCCCTTGACTTTGTCTGTGTACACATCGATCTATTTTCACTTAAAAAGTCAAAGGAATACCCAGTTCTACACTAGAGCCAATAAAAAAAAAATCTATAATCTCAATAAACTACATTTTAAATCAAACAATGCAATAACATAAAAAAGGAAAGGTGCTACTTTGGTAGACGTTGCACGGATTTTTGGCGATTTAATTTGGCGCAATTGTTCGTGCGGTTTTTACTATCGTCAGCCATCTTGAAAAACGCTGTTTTTATGTATTTTGCGCAATGTTTAATTGGATTAAAATATTACTTACATTGAATATCAAATTAAAAATATCGTACCAACTTTTAAAAGAATTAAAATATTACTTAAATTCAAATACGTTAAAATAAGTTTTATAGGATATAATTATTTAACATTAAAACATATGTGGCAATAAATATGTCAGCAATTTTTTAATACAAATTGAAGTATACAATTATAAAGTAAAAGAAAAATATGTACTTATATTTTTTTGAGTATTTTATCTGTCGCATATTGATAAGTACCACAAAACAAATCGGAATCATAAATTAGATATCGATGAAAAAAATTGTCGGTAAAAAAGGAGGAATGTCTAATACTTTTTTTACCATTGCAGTGGTTATTTCTTCCATGGTGATCACAATACCATATATGGCCGTCCTCAGAATCGGCTCTTTTAACGGTCTTCATCCGTGATCCACATCTCTCGCACTTCATTAAAGAAGCAATTAGCAGGGTTTCTTTCAAAAATTTAAAATAAATTTCCTCTGACCCTTGTAACAATTTTAAAATAAATCTTTGATTAGGAAAGCCAGGTTGGCCAAAATAAGGCTTCAAAGGAAAATTTTTTTATTCTGATACCAATAATTCTCAGTACTTACCAATAACAACATTCATCTTTGAAATGGACATATCCATTCACTTTGAAATCTAAGGAATCAAAGAGAGGAATAATAAAATTTAAAAATGTCGCAGTAATGCACAAATATTCAGTAACCAATCGGGGAGCTGATTACATCACGCATAGAATTAAAGTTATTTAAATAATCATACATAATAAAATTATTTAAAAAAAATGCAAAATCAAATTGTATTTTAATATTTAACAGCCATAAATAATGTTTAAAATATTAGATTAAATTTTTAGATATTAAAACCAATTACTTTTAAAGTAAGGTGACGTCATTGATTACATCATCCACAACATAAAATTATACAAAATATCATAAACAATAAAATTTTTATTTCAAATAAAAATGCAAAATTAAATTGATTTTTAATATTTAAAAAACAGAATTTATACATAATAAAACATATTATTTAAAAAATAAAATGACAACAAAATATCAGTTACCATAAATAATAACTTGTCTCGCAATGGGTTTACCATAAGTTGTATCGCTCGCCAAAATCCGTGCAACCGTCTACCAAAGTAGCACCAAAGGAAATATCCACTTACCTTATTTAGAAATTTCTGTGTCTTCAGTCTGTGGCACATAAAATTCCTTAACAGAATCCAAAAACTTTCCTCAGGCCATATTTCCTATTTTCTAATGGAGCGCTTTATGTATTGAGTATTTGAACCTTTCTTGCGTCAAAGCCATCTGAATGATCTTTATGTTCGACCATACGCATTTCCTTTGTACAAACAGGACACTTATAATTTTGTTGAATTACATCCAACAAAGTTTCTTTCTTCTGTCCTCAACCACTTAGAAAAAAAAACTTCTGTTCTCTTGTCTATACCACGAAACGCCCATTTTATGATGCAAAGCACACAGTGAGGAACATATTTCCTAACTGGCATCCAACATAAACAAGCCTTTACAAATCTTTTCCTATCAGTCAAATTCACTGCAATCATGCAACCAGTTACATCATAGTAAGGTTTCCATAACACTCAACTACTCAGGTTACCATAAATGAAACAACAACTTGGTGATAATCCAAAGAGCACCCTTGGTTGATCTTTACATTATGGTAACTTGGCGTTTTTTTGGCGAAAATTTGGCGACCAACTCTGCTACAGCAACCCTCTATTTTTTTTTCCCGCCCCATTTTGTCTTCACGAAGTAAAGACATGTTTCTTTTCTTTTATCTACTGAACACTTCTTCCAACAATCTACTAGCCGAATTACACTTATGCTAGAAATTTTATCTAACAAACTGCTTAATCATGACAAATATTCACTGCAAAATTGGGAAAAAGTGCACATACCATACTCCTTACGCTTTTTCAAAATAACACGTACACATAATGTACACGCCGACTTATTTTTACTTTAAAAAAAAATCCCGAATTGCACAAAAATGGCATTGCGCACCTCTTCACTATATCATGTACACTGCTTTTTCTCATAATTAGAAAAATTTCACGAAAATTACATGACAATTTTCTCAATCTTTAACCCGGTAAAAAAACATATATGAAATTACCTGAACGCGAAAAAGTAATGAACATTTCCACATATAAAATAAATAAATATCCAAAACTTTTACCTCTAAATCATCTATTACCTTATACACGTCACCAACGAATTCATACCGCAACCATTACAAATACTTAGTGTCAGATATTTAAATTTTTCCATGCACGTTTACTTCAACTAAAACGTACCAAATTCCTACAACTAAAATTACAAAATAACTATCATTTAATTAAAATCTAATTAAATTCAAAAACACTACTTAAAATATAAATGAGCACATACATAAATGATACATACATAAATACCATTTCGAATTCACTTAGTTACGGCCATGGGATCCAAAAATTCACGACCTGTTTCACACAACACAGAATAAAGCCAATACAAATTTCCAGAATTTTTCCCGATTTCCCCCTTTTCTGATTAAAGAACCGTAATTCGTCCATTAATCATGACATTCCCATGATTTTCATTTCCCTCACACAAAATAATGCTAATCGAACTGAGTACTGCTCACATTATTACCAAAGTGCCAGGTAGTAACCTTTATCGCCTCCAAAATGTCGCCAAACTACCAGTTACCATATTGTAAAGATCAACCGCACCCTTAAATACAGGCTAACCAAAAGTAATATTACTAGCGTACTATATAAAATTTCCTTAGTAATTCCATTTGATTTCATCATCCTTTGCCAAAATTGTATTTATACGATTCATGTTTGCTTTTTTAAATATTAATGAATAATTAAGTAACGTGAAAATGAATTTTGGTTTCAGTGTGAATCGTACAACGTAAAAGCGGTTAGGGAGTAGCAACTTCTGGTTTCTCATAAACATGATCATGTATAAATGAAAAGCCTTTATTGTGGGTCGTTATCTTATTTACGAATTTGTGTGTCTTCGGTCAAATAAAATTCCTTAACATTACTCAAAAACTTATTATAATTATCTGAACTAAAATTTGTATACTGGCGTCGCCACATAAATTCGCAAAAATATCCTTCGTAGTGCTGTGTTGTCCAACCATACGCATTTCCTTCCTACAAACAAGATACTAATTAATGGCTACTAAGTAACCATTTGCACACCAGTCAATTAATGCTTTTTTCCTTTTCATTCCAAATTGTACAGTAACTTCAAATTAATCTTACCACATTCAGGCATTTTACTGTAAACCCCAAAATAACAGCGTACTTATTCAAAATCCGACACACGCTTTCCAAAATCTTTTTGCATCATTTTGACCACAATTGTGCAACCAATTACGTCATAAGAGTTTCCATAATATTCAACTGTTCAGGTTACCATAAATGAACTAACAACTTGGTGATAAATAAAACAGCAACTTGGCGATAAATGAAACTACACCTTAGCGATTATCCAAGGGGCACCCTTAAATTTAGCCTAACCAATGACTTTTCGCCTCTTTCACGAATATCATTGGTATCTGGTACTTCCTTATTATAGCGGCCCCCAAGGTTGAATCACTTATCAATCGAGATATCTCGCCCCATATTCTTACAACTCACTACATGCTACATCTTGGTTGATTAACGATTAAATTTTGCATGCTACTGTAATAAGGAAATAATGGCCATCTGTATTAAGACTTATTTCTTTTGAAAAAGGTTATTCAAAGTTGTTTTGGTTTTAAAAAAAAGTTTATTCGAAAAGTTCTGAAAATGAACTTTTATAAGTATTTGGACACTTTGAACAAACAGTTTATACAGTCAAAAGTCTTTAATCCGGACTCGTCGGAACTTCGGCGATTCCGGATTATCAGTTTTTCCAGATTATAGATCATCAGTTTAAATCTGGTAAGATAGCATGCAGAAATTATTAAATTAAAAATATGAAACCATAATTTATGAAATAAAGAGCAATTATGATCTAAAGGGTATCAAAATTTACAAAAAAAAGCTTAAATATTATTTGTTTACTTTATTAAACATTTCTTTCAACGCGCGCATGCGTAAAGCATACATTACACATAGTCGAAATTAGAAAATTGCAACTAGAAAACTATTTGATGTGTATTTGTGATATTTATAATGACGAGGCATTTGATTTAAATCTGGCCCGCCAGCGGCCGTGGGGTAAAGTCGCTGAACACTGGTAGTTCGGTCTGAGGTTCGAATCCCGTGAACGGGCTGGTGCATGGGTG